CTGATTTTGCAGGTTTGCCCACTTACAAAGAATGCTTATTTTTCCTCTTCAGATGGTTATCAATTTTTATAAATTCATATGATGTGATTTTCTGGAATTTTCTTTGGGATTCTGTCTCTCACTGTTAGAATGTACATATGATTAAAGTTATAGATCGTTGCATTCTTTGTAAGTGGGCAAACCTGCTAAATCAGCAAAAGGGTCATCTATCTATCTATCTATCTATCTATCTATCTATCTATCTATCTATCTATCTATCTATCTATCTATCTATCTATCTATCTATCTATCTATCTAAAGAACACACAAACCCTCAAAGATGAGAGACTGAACTCAGCATCTTTAGCCTGTGAAAGGAGCTTTTTTTACCCATCAGCAGGCTAATTTAAGGCTCATTCTGAGCCCAGAGAAACCAGAGTATTCTCTAAAAACTGTGTAAAGAACCAAAGAAAGCCCCTCTCTTTCATTCAAAGCTAATAGGTTTCTGCCTGTTAAAAGGAAGTTTTTCCTTGCCTGAGTCGCCTAGTGCTTGCTCATGGTGGGAATTGTTGGGTTTCTGTAATTAACTTCAGAGTAGGGTCTGACCTGCTCTGTTTGGAAAGCGCTGTGAGACAACTGTTGTTGCGATGTGGCGCTATAGAAATAAAATTGAATTGAATTGAATTCATTTTAATTTTGTAATGTCAGTGTCTGAATGTGTGTTTGGACTGATTTTGTGATTTTGTGTTGTTTGGTCTTCCTGCCTCAGGACCACAGATGTAAACTAGCAACTATGCTATAATCTGGCTCATTTACAATCTGTATGAGATTGTTCATTAATGTGCACTGTCCTGATTAAATAAATAATAATATGTGAGTGGTGATGGGATAAATGGGCGGGTACCTTGAGGGCGGCGGCGTGGTGGGACATGGTGCGGCCCACCCTCTTATCGCTGCTGTACTGCTGGATGTCAGAGATCCAGTCCTCACACTGAGACATGATCTCCACCCTCTTCAGGTAGAAGTGCTTATGGATCACCTGCAACCCACAAAAGCCACGTCAATTACATCCATCCATCCATCTCCATCCACCTCCATCTATCTCCATCCATCCATCTCCATCCATCTATCTCCATCCATCTATCTCCATCCATCCATCTCCATCCATCCATCTCCATCCATCTATCTCCATCCATCTCTATCCATCCATCTCTATCCATTCATCTCCATCCATCCATCTATCTCCATCCATCCATCTCCATCCATCTATCTCCATCCATCTCCATCCATCCATCTCCATCCATCTATCTCCATCCATCTCTATCCATTCATCTCCATCCATCCATCTATCTCCATCCATCCATCTCCATCCACCTATCTCCATCCATCTCCATCCATCCATCTCCATCCATCCATCTCCATCCATCCATCTATCTATCTCCATCCATCTATCTCCATCCATCTATCTCCATCCATCTA